CCCCGCGTTCTACCCCGTAGGGTTCAGGGGGCTGACCCCCGCGTCCGGCTCCTTAGGGTTCAGGGGGCTGACCCCCGCGTTCGGCTCCTTAGGGTTCAGGGGGCTGACCCCCGCGTTCGGCTCCTTAGGGTTCAGGGGGCTGACCCCCGCGTCGGCTCCTGAGGGTTCAGGGGGCTGACCCCCGCGTCTGGCTCCTAAGGGTTCAGGGGGCTGACCCCCGCGTCCGGCTCCTTAGGGTTCAGGGGGCTAACCCCCGCCTTCGGCTCCTTAGGGTTCAGGGGGCTGACCCCCGCGTTCGGCTCTTTAGGGTTCAGGGGGCTGACCCCCGCGTTCGGCTCCTTAGTGTTCAGGGGGCTGACCCCCGCGTTCTACCCCGTAGGGTTCAGGGGGCTGACCCCGCGTCCGGCTCCTTAGGGTTCAGGGGGCTGACCCCCGCGTTCGGCTCCTCAGGGTTCAGGGGGCTGACCCCCGCGTTCGGCTCCTTAGGGTTCAGGGGGCTGACCCCCGCGTTCGGCGCCTTAGGGTTCAGGGGGGCGGCCCCGCCGCCCGGAGTTTATCGAATAGCATTGCTGTTGTTCGTACCCCGTTGTCTGAAGTCAATGGTTCGCCTTCAAATGGCCGGGTATGCAAGATGACTGCCGTGACGCACGAATAGTGGTATCAGAATTTCGCATTAAGTTTTCACATTGATTTGAAGGCGCTCTTCTGTATCCTTTGTTAGTGGCCTCGTAAAATGTTTTTGACCAAAAAGTTCATAATTTTGGGTTTTCAATCGAGCCGCATATTTGAAAAATGCCGAGGAATATCATTTTGAAAAAATAAATATATTGTTTTTCGTGTCTACGTCTTAATTCTAAGAAGAAACTACCGGCGGCTGGATCAGATTGTGTATTTTAAGTCTCTTGGTTCGGTCATCGTATTTTGCGAAACTGAAAGAGTCGCCGTTTACAAGATCGGAATTTTCTCAAAAGCGGTTGTGAATTTAAAATGTTTCGCACGGATAAAATGAGCTTTATTTGATTGACTGTGAATTATCAGAATTGAAGATAGGTACTTTTTCCACTGGTCCATTAGGAAAGCGTAAAACTTGGATGGATGGAGCATCGATAAGCAACTTAATCTTATCTGATAAGGGTGCAACCCTTTTTTGAGTCCTGAAATGATCCAAAACCACCAACAAGTTTTAAACACATGCGTGAAATACAATACGCAAAAATGCGTATCTCCTGATGAAGTGTAGAATAATAATACCAAAAAATGCGAATCTCGGCATTTCTGCCGTATTTTCTAACAGTTCGAGAAATTTTTGATTCTGCTGATGGAGTTGAAAAAAACATCTTATTTTTGCTATCCTCAAGAATTTTTACCCTTCTACCGACAATTAAGAGGAATGCAGACAGTTTTTTTACTCTCCTTGAAAATCGTATTTTCCGAGATTCGCACTTCTGCACTTTCACCATCGATAAAGTGCTTTAGTGTTGTTTAATTGACATTTGCACAGGCAGTGATTGTGATTGTTCAGTTCGTAATTTTATTTTCTCATTAATTTCCTCACAAACATTCACAGGTGTATATGTTGCAGGCAATTAGCATATGCCGGCAAATTGCAATCTCTTCGTGTTTAATCAACAAATTAAATTGTTTTAAAGTGAAAAAACGAGATTGGAAGTAGGGATTATTATGCTTTGAATTCAAACATACGTTAGCCCCTTCTTCTCGGATACATGGTGCCAGCTAGCACATTCGCGAGTCCGTGAAATGTTATCAATAATCTGTGTAAGGTTCGGTTAAGCAACTAAACGAACTCCTCGGCAAAGCGGAGAGTATCGCTGGATTTGAAGGCGTAAAGAAATCTTTACTATATCGATGTTATCGTAATTACAATTTGACGAATTGACCCGCTGAGTGGATTTTCCAGTCGGGAAAGCTCCTCGAGTCCCTCCCAACGAGTTATCCGTTGAAAACGCACCGAAGAAAGAGACAAAAAGTGGTCAGAAAAGCTAGTTTTGGACGAATTTTTGACTGATTCTTAGCTCAGGGAGCCTCGCCGAGTGTCGGGACCGTGCGGAATCAATTCTTTGCCTTCAACTACGTAGGATGCGACTGAAATCTCGAAATTTTTTTCTCAGTCCCAAATCGAGAAAAATCGACAGGGGTTACATGGACTAAATTTTTAGCATCAAATTGAAAATTCGCTGATCGGGCAGAAACCAAGTAAAGTCGCTTGGAAATGACCCGCTGAGTGCGATTTTCCAGTCGGAATAACTCCGCAAGTCTCTCGCTTCGAGCTAGCCACTGAAGACGCTCCAGAGAAAGAGTCAAAAAGTGGTCAGAAACACTCGTTTTTGACCAGTTTTTGACTGTTTTTCGGCTCAAGAATTCTCGCCGAGAATCAAAACCAGGCGCAATCGATTCTACGCCTCCAACTTCGTAGAATGCGTATGATCTCGACATTTTTTTCACAGTCCAAAATCGAGAAAAATCGACAGGGGTTGCATGGACTAAATTTTTAGGGTCAAAATCAAAAATTCTCCGATCGCTCCCAAAGCAAGCAAGTTCGCTTGGAAATGACCCGCAGACTGCGAATTTCGAGTCGAAAAAGCTCCGCGAGTTCCTCGCTTCGACCTATCCGCTGAAAACGTTTCAGAGAATGAGTCAGAATGTCGTCGGAAACACTCGTTTTTGACCAGTTTTTGACTGTTTTTCGGCTCAAGAATTCTTGCCGAGAATCAAGACCAGGCGCAATCGATTCTACGCCTCCAACTACGTAGAATGCGACTGGTCTCGACATTTTTTTCACAGTCCAAAATCGAGAAAAATCGACAGGGGTTACTAAATTTTTAGGGTCAAAATCGAGGGTTCTCCGATCGCGTCAAAACCAAGCTAGTCGGCTTGGAAACGGCTTGGAGTGCGATTTTCCGGTCGAAAAAGCTCCATGAGTGCCTCCCTTTGAGCTCTCCGCTGAAAACGCTGCAGAGAAAAAGTAAAAAAGTTCGCATGAGAATACCACGTGCTGAGATGACCGAAAATTTGAGATGACATGAATTCGTATATTTTACCTCGCAGACATTCTCCGAACTCCTCGTCAACCTTCCACTTTTAACTCTGACGAACATTTATTCTCATCCTCGTCTTTTATTTTATAACGGTTTAATGAAATATCAACGAGGAATATACTAAATACGTTGCAAGGTATTTGAAACACCATTTCTTGGTTTGTACTAAAACCGTGTTATAATTCTATTGGTTGAATCTTAAACTTCAGACGAAGGAAGGGTATCAATTAGGGGATTTTTTGGGTCCAATCTAGGTGGAACCATTCAACTTTACGGTGTTTAGCTCATTTTTTTGCAAAAATTGGTCATTTTTAGTCCATAATTAGGCCTGTAAAGAGACCAAAAATAATGCATCACAATCATGATGCATGCCGTAAAATATAGACCTTTGAACAATGAGCAAACATTTTTAGAGATTAGGAAATTCAGGGTGGGCCTAAAAACGGTCCGTATCGATACCCATTCCTTTCGGTCGTTCCATCCAATATTTACAGAGATATTTTTGAATATTTTTACTTTCATAATTTGTGGCGTCGAGAGGAGAAAGAATCTAAGGACACACAGGGACTCTTTTCAGAAGAGCGCTTTGTATCAAGTCGAGTCAAAGGATTGGAATTTAAGTTGAAACTGTAAAATCCATTTTCATCCCAAAGAACAAGCTAAAAGCGGATTTCCTCATTTACAAGGCAATAGATGGCTTGGAATTGCATTTAAATTGCATAATTTTTCTTTCTGAATGCCCCGGCTAAAGAACTTAAAATATTTTCCTCTTAAGACTGCGCGTTTTCTACCACAAACTTCAAGCCACTCAAACTTCGGTTCGACATGAAATTTTCGGACGTTATTTATGTCAAAGTTTTTATAAAAATAATCTTTAACGCAGCTATAACAATTACTCAACTTTGATATTTCTGGTGCTAAAGTCCCTTATCCCGAGGATGTTTACTCAAAGTATTTTGACTGTGGACATAATAATACAATTATCGATGCATAGTCTGCGATACATATTGCTGGTCCATTTAAAAAAAAAAAAAAGTTTTACAGAGAGGTATCATTTTCACAAATTATTATTCCAATAACTTCACTCAACTTTAAGGCTACAACTTCAAATGCAAACAATGAAAAACCTTCATAATTTTAAAAAAATTTCCGTTGTATCTATTTGTTGGAAAATACACAAAGATTCGCCTAAAAAAATGAAAAAAAAAGAATTTTGTAAAAATTAACAGGAAAAAAGTCTTGCGTAGTTTTATACGTTTCTATTTAGGTCTGCGTTGTGATGAAAAAAACAAAAACAAAAAACAAAAAAAACACCCATCTCGTTTTTGCACAGAGGTCTTGAAGCCCAAAAAAAAAGAAAAAAAAATGCGACAAAAATGTACCCAAAAACGGTTTGCAAGAGGTGACTCAATGGTACGTGTGAACTTAATATCACAAAAATTAAAAATCTTGGCTGATCCTAATTTCGAGATACCGCAATTTGAAATCATAGTGAATGCAGGTTTTCTACGGGTATTGATCAGCTTTTTTATTTATTTGTCCATTGAATATGTGTTGATCGGTTCACATTTTCATATTTCGTTCGATTCATTTTTCGGTATATTTTTGTCCGATTTTTTTTTTTTTACATATATAATTTTTGGCCTCAAGACTACTGTTTTTGTTTCATCGAATGTGAGTGTCTTTTTTATAATATGAGCAAAACCGTTGGTTATATAATATGAGCAAAACCAATGCTCCGTAGTTTTATAAATTTTTATAATATTCGACAGCAATCCTACACGAACTTAGAGGTTTGAAAAATGTTTGACTCAGTTTCCATTTACTTAGAGTGAGTTTTGTTTAACAGCGTGGGCCTGCTTGGAAATTATTAAAGTTAAACTTCACCCAAGTGAAACCATTATGCAATGAAACTAATTAATGTGGATATTTCGTTTGTTGCAGGCTGTGAAAATGATGATAGTTGTAGTAGTTATATTCGCCGTGTGTTGGCTTCCGTTCCAAATTTATTTTATCGTCACTTCGCTGGTGCCCGAAATCACGGAGTCCCCGTTTATACAAGACGTTTACTTAGCAATATACTGGCTCGCTATGAGCAATTCCATGTACAATCCAATTATCTACTACTGGATGAATGCAAGGTAACGCATGCTGGTTTTAATTAACGTTTATTTCTATTTATTTTGCACCACTCTAACATTAGCTTCGTGACTGGCAATACATTTCATCGAATTCGGTTGAGAAATAGTGATTTTAAATGTCATTTTTTATACTCTCGTACAATTCAAACGTGTATGATATTCATTGCGTTTACGTTCCTCGTCGTAGTTCTGGCCGAGGAATCAAATTCTTAATTTACATAGACATTTTAGAGGACATAATTGCTTTTTGCCCCGGAGTCAAAGCATGTTTTCAACTAGCGCGCTTCCCTCACTGGAAAAAAGTCGCTTGGATAGATCCAAGAGTCTGAGAGTTGTCAATGTTATTAAGAGTCTGGACTCTTGTTGTCAATATTATTTAGAGTCTGAACTCTAGAGAGTCCAGACTCTTAATAACATTGATAAGAAAAAATACTCTTGATTCAATCCGATTTTTCCTTGAATCGAAGAGCCGAGCCTCTTGATTTAGGCGGATTTCCTTTTGATTCAAGCAAAAAGTCCGATTGAATCAAGAGTATTTTTTCTTGTTAATGGTTTTAATAGTCAAGACTCTAAATCCAAGCGATTTTTTCTCCGATGCCCCTCGCCTCGAGTTCCCTCGAAGTTTTGACCATCCTGTGATCCGGTCCGTGACCAAAAAGCGTCACGGACCAGTTCACCTTATGGACGTCTCGATTACATACGTGGAAACACACGGGGGTGAAAGGTAAGATTGAAATCGGTTAAATTACATTCGACGTTCGAACAACCCCTAAATTCCTCTGAATTAGACAAGTCGCACACGATTAGCGGTCGCCAACAATGTGCAGGCGGCTTTTGAGTTGCCTCGGCAATACACGATAATTTGCATCTGTTTCATCGGGATAAATGATTCATTGATGAGGGGCTTTACCTGTATAGACGCAGCTGGAACGCCTTCATTTTTTTGTGATACCGTGCGATTTGCAACGCGGTTAGTTAAGTTGCCTATTGAACCTAAACCCTACCAAGTAAAGGCTGCCGATAATGTCACTAAAGAAGGGTGTATCGGGCAGTCACTGATAGTAGCGATTTTCCAAGCTGGCAATACCATTTTTCGCCTTTTAAATCCATTAAAATTATCTATTTACGTGAGGCAAACCAAGAATTGATTGTTCAAAATACTTTTAAATGGAAGAGAAACAGTGTTGGAGGAAAACTTACAAGAATTGCCACTGTTCACCGAACCATTCCACTTCATACTAATGAAACTGTGATAATGTTTTGTCCTTTACAATACTACCGTCGGTAAATTTTAACTCCAGTCAGTCTCATCAATTTAACATAATTTCCCCCCGACTTTTTATAGTCTTATGGTTTGACGTCTGAGTCAAGGGTACGTAATTTTAGAAAAGAGGCACTTAGCATAGAATCATAGAACTTTACCGGGACACTGAAAAGAAAGGTGCTTCGCTCAAGCATGATGACTCTTGAATTTGCCGCCAAGAATTTCTTTTATATCGAAGATATGGAGAGATCCTCGTGAGCGTCAATATCGGCAATTCGGCTCGGCCATTGCTCGTTTTTCATACTTTGGATAACACAGGGTGGGGAAAGAACACTGCTTTTACATTGAGAAGCCTGCAAAAACATATCTAGATCGCGATCTGATTCAAATGGACTCTGATTTTTCTAGTCATCGGGAAATCTGAATTTGTGTGACCCATGCTGAAAAAAAACGTTTAGAGTTTATTAAGGAGTTACTGCCAATAATTTTCGTCGTCAAAATAGTTTTTTAGGTAAAATTATGATCTAGAACATGTTTAGATTCGCATTTTGTTTGGTGGTCCATTGGACTCATTTAGGTAAAATGAGTCTTTCGACATCAGGAGATTGGATAAAGTACAAATAGACCGCATTAACACTGAAAATAAATCTTGGTGTATTTACTAAGAAAAGGGCAAAATTACGAAGAATTCGGGGTTCTATTTAATCCCAGTTTTTTCTTGGTAAAATTACCATTTATGGGATTGGTAATTTTACCGAGAAATCTCGGTAAAATTATTGAACTTTCTCGGTAATTTTACTGGACCTTGGTAAAAACGCCAATATTTTTTATCGACTGTGGTAGAATTACCGAGATAAAACGGCAAAGTTACCGGGAATTGATTACCAATGAAAGTGGTATTCTTACCTGAAAAAAACAGTAAAAATACCGGTATACCAGTCTGTCTTGGTAAAATTACCAATAATTGGTAAAAAAGTGAGATGGTAAAGATACCAATGGACCTTGGTAAAAATATCGAGAATTTTTTTTCAGTGAAGCAGGAGGGAACCAAGCCACGTCGGCTATTGCTAAATTTAACTGAGGAATTGAATTTTTTGCATGAAAACGGTTGGGCAGATTTTTGTGCAAATTTCAGTGAATTTTGAGCATAGTACGAGGCAAATTCTTTAAAATTTTCAAAGGAATCCGCACAAACGCTCTTTTGTAAAAACTCAAATTGCCCAGTTAAATTTGGCAAAAGCTGATGTGGTTGGCTCCACTCTGCTAAACGCGGTCCAAACAATCTACGGAACAGGTGTATTGGATTTAAGGATCGGAGTTCGAAGACTAAGTTAGGCATTTGACTCGCCCAAGTGCTATCGTAAATAGGAGAGCGAGCTGTAAAAAGACAAGAATGTAAGGCTGCATCGTGCAATCTGATCGCGATTTGTCACCATCGAGTCAATTACTCTGAAGTGCTGTTCAGATGGGAGTACTTCTAAATTGCCTCGGAAAGTCAAGTGCATTCCGCCCCTCTCTCTGACTTCACTTTGATGCTCTTGGCTGCAAAACAGGTGCAAAAATCTCCCGTTACGTATTGCGGACTAAATGGGAAGAAGAGGTATCTACAAGGCATTCACCTCTGAAGCTGGTGCAAGTAATCAATATTGTCAAATAATAGCAATGTAAGTGGCAGCAACAATACAGGCAAATTTCAAAGATTTGCTGTCTCTGGATAGCACTGAGGCTCTTGTTCAAGGGTAGAGGGATATTTTATTAATTTTTTCTCGGTGAATGCGAATTATCGAAAGAAATATTCAAAAATAGCACAGGAACTGGATCATGATCGACATACCTACACCAGCCAAATAGCGGAGCGAAATTAAACCCATGAGAGAGAGAAGGCATTTTTTGCTTCATACTTGAGTATGAAGCAGAACATCTTCCTTAAATGTAGAATAATTAAAATTAAGATACTTAAGCTCACCTCCCAAAACCACACAATTCTTTAAGTCACACTTCTGGCATCATCGGCGGATCCAGCAAATTGGCAACATTGCCTTTTCTCATTTAAACCTATGGACATGTATCGATTCTTGGAGGGGCTAGGTGCTCCGACAAGAATCGATTATTTAGCGTAGGTTTAAATTGAAAACATTTCTCTCGTAAGCAAATACTGGATGCAGAAGAGAGACAAATTTTCTCTCCTGGGCAACTACCCAGTTAGACAGCAATATTTTTAAAATATTTTAAAAATATGCACCTTATTTCAAAAATATTTACAGAAAATATTTTCTTCTTTATATTTTTAAAATATTTCAAGAATGTGTTAAAAGTATTCCAAAAATATTTTTCAAAATACTTTTAAAATATAAAATATGACATATTTTTGAAATATTTGTGGAATATTTTTAAAATATAAAATGTTAACATTTTAAAAATATTATAAAATATTATTTTTAAAATGTTTTAAAAATATTTTAATAATATTAAAAGTAAAAGTTTTAAAAATAATATCTTATAATATTTTTAAAATATTCCAAAAATACTTTAAAAATATAAAAAGTAAACATTTTTAAAATAATATTTTATAATATTGTTAAAATATATCATAATTATTTTTGTTAATATTTTAAAAATAATATTTCATAATATTTTTAAAATATTAAATTTTTTTAAAATGTTTGAATTAATATTATAAAAATTATAAGAAAAAAAAGAAATAATAACAATAAATAAATAACATAAATACATCGACATAAATTCAAACTAGAAAAAGGCCCAAATAATTAAAACTGGAAAAAGACGCAATTATAAAAAACGTTAATTTGGTTTAAAAAAAAAATAAATAAAAAAAAAATAAAAAAAAGAGAAAGTTAAAAAAAAATGAGAGTTAAAAAAAAAGAATGAGTTAAAAAAAATGATACTTAAAAAAAAAAGAGATAGTTAAAAAAAAATGAGAGAGAGTTAAAAAAAATGAGAATGAAAAAATTACATGATGAAATAAAAAACAATAAAAAAATAATAAATAATAAAGTCTGGTAAAATATCATAAGAATCCGTCAATAAACAAACACATTACGGACTCAGAGGCCTGCGATAGTTAAGAGATTGAATTTAGGGGCCCATCTGTAGAAAGCCTGGCTGGTCTGGTGGTAAAGAACTGGACTACGGATTGCAACTCCATCCCGAGGCGTGGGTTCTAATCCCGACTAGGACGGCGCGGATTTTAAAGTAAGTCACAACTCTACGATGATCTACCACCTGGTAGCAACGCATATGCACGTTCGGAAGAACATTAGTACCAAACATATCACCTAGAGAGCGCGCACTCTAGGATGCAATACTTGTGCAATATTTTTAAAATATTCTTACAATACTTTGAAAAAATTCAAGAAATATTTTGAAAATATTCAAAAAATATTTTTCAAATTAACTGAGGTTAACATGAGTAGATTTTAAAAATAATATAAAAAGTTTTTAAAAATATTTTGTGAAAATATTAATTTAATATTTTTAAAATTTCTTAAAAATATTTTTTGTCTAACTGGGTAGTTTGTGCTTCGGAAAAGATACGTTCCTCTCCTAAGCACCAACTAGTTGCTCGGGAGGGAAAACATTTCTCTCGCAAGCAAATACTCGATGCAGAGGAGAGAAATGTTTTCTCTCCTTAACAACTTTCGGTATCAAATGCGAGGTTTTTTTAATTACACTATTCTGCTTTCGATTCGCTGAATTTTGCTAATTATTGGATCTG